CCGCTCTGGCATGGTCAAGACTTGTTATTTTTAACGAACATACTTTTCGGTGTTTAGCTGATCTCGACTCTGTCGACGCCCGCGACCTTCAACGATACGTTAAGGTTACACGATGGTGCTATCATTTCGGAAATTGAGGGAAATAACAAGAGCTCGTTTATAATGACTGTTTATTTAGCTATTAATCCATTTTAATTTTGCGAAGGACAAATATCATATCTTTATACAATTTACATGTGTACATTAGGGCGGGTTCAATTTGTATGGGAGATTTTTTCGACTATACGCGTAAAGTACAGAAGTATTCTACGTGTCATTATAAAAAAAATTTTACGAAGATACCATGGGTCTAAAATCCATTTGGAGTGTGTCAAATTGCGAAATTAAGTATCTAAGCATCTTGCTGTAGTGTCGTAAAGGAGTGCTTAAATTTCAATTTTCAATCCTTTCTGCACTTTCATATTTCTTAAAACTTTCACATAAAATTTAAAATTTACAAATTTTCTTTGAAACTGTTTTGTTTTGCAATTTGGCAAACTCCAAACACTCAGAACTCTAGTCTGCTAGTCACATTTGCGATTTTAAGGCAGTGTCACACGATTGGGTATTTGCTCAAAATTTGGTGCAAATTGTATCCCAATCGTGTGAATAAACAAATATTTTTCTTTATCCAAATCACGAAAAACAATTTTTTAAAACTTTTCAATAGAAGTTCGCTGTATTGTACCAATCGTGCGACTACAAAAAAAAAATTGCCCTACCATTTTATTTTTTTTTTGTTTTCTACCAATAGCCCAATATAACGAATGTACAATATAAAAATATAACAATGACTCTTGAGAAGAAATATAAGACACTAATACATATGAAATTCACCCGAGATCAACAACTTTTATGTTGCCATAGCGATTTTCGCTGTCGCTACTGGGGCATTTGCTTTGGCTTTTAAGTCGTCGATTTCAATGCCGATTTCGCCGATTTCGCCGATTTCTTCAAGCATTATTACTCATCAACCATTAATCGCTTTGCATGAAGTAGACGCTTTACTATTTAAATAAAAAAACACATGTGTACAGCTGCATTTTTTTTAAATATTTTTATTGCTGGTACCATGTAGATATAATAATTATTTGGATCATACAGAATTTTTCGATAGCTTTGAGCTGACAAAAAGTACGTACGTATTTCGTGCACAAATATTGCAATAAAACTACTTAAATATCCATGTTTCTTTTGCAGTGCAATCTTATACAAATATGTATATATACTTATATATGCCCGTACAAATGCGAATATTTTGTTGAAAAACCTTGCTACAATATATTATTTACTTAGTACGTCTGTATGTAAAGGTTTATCATTTTAGTGTAGTTCATTCGATTTGCTGCGCAATATTATTGTTGTTATTGTATAAAGTCGTTAAGATTTGTTTATTTGTTGAGCAATTCTTTGAATATTTTTCTCTAGATTTATTATTTATTATTGCCCTCTATTTTGGCGTTGAAAAGTAGTTATAGTTATTTATGTATCTATGTATCTATGTACTCCGAAGTTGTTGTTATTTTTATCGTGAGTTTTTTTTATTTTTATTTGTTATGCATTACTAATGACTGTGGGTGTGTGTGCTTCGCATTATAAGTGAGTTTCTTGCTTAAGTGCGCTTGTTTGAATTAGAGCGATTAATAAATTATTTTGGTTGAGTTGCAGAGAAAAAATTTGCTAAAAGGTATATTTCCAGTTGTTTTGATATTTATTTTAATGCATACTTATTACATTTTATTTTGGTAACCAATAGATTTTATATACATAAAAACATATTATTTTGGATAAATAAAGCAGCTGCACTTATTTTTTTAATGATACTTAATTTATTTTGATTAAGCTAAATCTTTCTAAGAGACTTGAAACCGAATATTTAGAGTTGCGAGTTTTTATATTTACTTTCTTAATGTATTTATGTATACTCTTAGCTACTTAGGATTTAAGGAATGTTTGTTCAAGTGAACCAAGAAGCGAAATTAAGTTTTAAAATTAAATCAGGTATTTACAAGACGTAAACTAACTAACTTCATATGTTCACACATTTAATTGATGTATAGGAAAATGGACAAATTTGGTTTTTGGAAAACAAGCAGTTCTAGGTATTAAATGGCAGTCAATTATCATAAAATTAATACCTATTAGGATCAAGAAAAAATAATATGCTTAAGAAGAGGAGTGAGTGTTTATGGATCCGAATCTAGACTTTCTATTGCAATGGACAGATGATCCACAGCCATTCAGGCCAGGGTTCTGCTATCTCGAACTGTGCCAATCTATACCTTTAACAGATTTGGATCAAAGGAAATTAGATCATAGACGAAGTGGCGTAGGAAAGGTCATCGTCTGTGCTTTTAGGACCGGAATCATTTTACAGACTCAGTTTCGCACTTTGGAGACTTTCAATTTCCGAATGAATAAATTCAGAATGTAGTAATTGCAATTCATTAGAATGGATATCGAATATATTTATATATACATATATTATAATTTCCAAAGATTTTTGAATGCAAGCAAAATACATGTTTTGTCTCAGAGAAAATGAATTGATTCTATTCGTCGTCAAAGTAAAAACAAAAGTTGCCACGATAAAACTGAGTTCTTTATAATTGGCCTCATCGCTTATCCTTAGGCTATTGACAGAGTGTGCTTCATCAGCTATGATATGCCAACTTTTCATGCAAGTACTTACTTACACCTAGCATATGCATTTTGGATTATCTAATTATCTACTAAATCCAAAGCCAACTCATTGACTGAAAAGTATCGCTTTAAGACTTTCAATGCTTTTACTGCCCACTCTGTTATCAGTCTAACGACAAGAATTCTTTCCCTAAAAAAATTAAATTATAATATAACAGAAGGAAACCGAGGTGTAGTTTCTATAGATCCGGATCAAACACTTTAATCCGAAATTGTAAGGAAACTTTACTTCCAGATACGATTTGAACGAATGATTCAGCTGAGTTCAGAGATGCTCCTTCCGACTTCCCTTGAGTAGCTCTGTGAAATCTGCAACTGCGTATCTTGTGAGTGTGTTTTTTTAAGGATATCAATTATAAGAAAAGAAGCTGGCCTACATGTGGAATAAAATTTTATTTTATTTTTCTCCAATTAGTGATTCTAAAATACTTTATTAAATAATGAAATTGCTGTGAGTTTACATCCGATATGAAAATGATACTTATCACAGATTTTGTTTGATGCAATCGAATAAGAAAAAAAACAAAAATTTTGTTTTAACGCATTTAATAGCGTAAGTGCGCATTTATAAGTGTGTGTGTGTGCGTGTGCTTAAATGAAGTCGCCTTAAATTCTAGCATTCATGGAGTCGCCAATACAAAATCTGGGTGTGTGTGTGTGTGTGACTGTGTACGGACGCTCTAATACGATATTATTTATAAATAGCTCGGCTTATGTATTTAATGTTTACTTCGCTCTTATCTCTTTCGATTTCTATGCGCACACTAATACCCAAATGCATGGCAAAAACTTTCTACTACGGATTATATGTACGTTCATGTACGTCACTTCAACGCAAACCAACAACAACAACAAACTCTTGAACTCTCGAACTGTCAACTAACTAGTCGTGTGATATATGTATGTATGTATTAGTGGCATAGGCAAAACCGCCCATAATTCTTTGGCCCTCAATATGCTCTATGTTGAACGAGTATGTATGTATGTATGTATGTATGCTGAACACTTTAACGGTATCTAAAACTCTACGCTCCGCGCCTTTGATGGCAATCGCCGCTTAGTGCTTTCAACGCCTTGCATACTGACAGCAGACAGCGCTGCGAGGCACTCGTTGTGTCGGCAGACCGGATATGCCCTTCAGATACGTATAGGAGACAGGCTGCCGAAGTATACGCTGCGGCGGTGGCTTTGTCTTGCCTTTCGATGATGACTTTGATGTCGACGACGACGACGAACTGCCAGCTGCTGACGACGCTAGCTGTAAACTCGATGCCGAATATGACGTATGCCAGGCGCCAATGACACCACCGCCACCACCACCACCGCCACCACCGGCTTGCAACTTTCTATTCAATTCAACATTGGAATTATATTTGAGTGCCGATTTGATGGGCGTGTTGCCGTTGCCGGAGCGTTGTGCCGCCTGCTGTGCGTTTACGGGCGTGTTAGCAGCAGTTGGTGTCGCACCGCTGCATGAAAGTGAACGCGTTGACAATGAGAAACTTTCGAATGCGCGTCGCAAGGAAGATGTGGAGCGACGTTGAAGGCGTGAGAAGCTGGCGCGTGCACTGGAGCGTCGCTCTTTGGTTGGTGACAATTTGGTGGCGGTGGCGGTGGCGGCATCCGCTTTTGGTGAACACATTTGTTGTTCTTGTGATTCCTCAATGTCGATAGTGCTGCTCGTCTCACTGGAGGCGCATGAAATATGTTCACTGCTCGAGCCGTGGCCGTCCTTCAGGCACGCGCCGTTGCTAGTGTGTAAGTGTGCTCCACTTTTGCCGCTAATGTTGCTATTGCTGCTCAAAGTGTTGATGTCGCCGCCATTTGGCGCGCATAACGATGACGTCGTCGATGCACCGGTCGAACGCTGCATTGGCGGCAATGCGCCCGTAGTCGAGGAGCACGAATCGGTCGAGTCATCTTCGGCAGCACTAAAAACTGGGTCATCGCTGGAGCGCAGCAGTCCAAAACGGCGGCTGAGTTGATGAAAGAAGCTAATATTGCGTTCGTAGCGTGGAGTTGGCGATATGCTGTGCGCGCTGTTAGCACCAGGCGATAGGCTGCATGGCGGCATGTCCTGGTTTGGGTCGGTTTGTTGCGTCATTGCTGAAGGGGAGTCGGCGGCATCAACAGCAGCATCACTTAACTCACACAGTGTTTCTATTTGGTTGCTGGTGGTGGCTAATGGTGAGACGTCTATGGGCGGAGTGGGTTTTCCGTACTGCGGCAGGTCAGCGAAACAGACATGCAAAGTGCCCATTGCGTTGAGGTTTACACTAGAGTTACTCAATCAGTTTTTACTGTGTTTGTAATAAAAAAAAGGGAAACTGTGTTGGCACTAAATGTTTTTTTTACAGTCTAATTTTCACCTTAACAAATTTTTATTTTGTTTTTAAATTCAGCATTCAACAATGCAATGTTTTTTTTTCACCATCCGTTGAGAGGACTTTCTATTTTTTATTACAATTGCATTCTTTCTTTGTCTCTTATATAGTAGAGCGTGTCTTTGTTTGATTTATGTTGTTGTCGAGCGCGTGCTGCCGGTTTTATTTTATACGTGTAAACACTGACGCTTTCCTGCAGCGTATGAAATTGTTTGCGGCATGCGGCTTCTTTATATAGCTTTGGCCGGCGCGCGCTGCAAGTCTGCAAAACATCTGCAAAGGAAACTTCCCGTTGACACTCTTTGATGCTCTCGAAAATTTCCGCTCTCTCGCTGTTTATTGTGTAAATGGGGTGGAGGATTTAGGTATTTATGAGAGAATTGTTCGCTTGTTGGCTTATTACAAGTATTATTGGTTACTGCGTTGTTCTCTATGTAGAGTTGCCACCAATATTCTCTATACCAAGCAATTTTGTAGGTAACCAGAAACTGGTTAGAAATATTGCGAAATTTATTAAGAACTAAAAATTGCTTGGCATTGGAAATTTCTGTTCAAAGTAAGAAGCGAGCCCATCAGATTTTGTTAATAGATCCGACAGACAAAAAAAAATTTAAATCAATGCCAATTCTTAGCCACTTAAAATTTGGACATTTTTATGCTAAAATAATGGGCTATGAAACTCCATACTAGATTTTATTTTTAATTTAAGCGGTTTAATTTTTATTTGGCAAAGTCTTTTATTTTTTACAAAAAAAAAAATATTTGGCTTGGTTTAACTGACTGAAACAAAACAAGTCGGTTTTTTACAGTTAATATGATATTTTTTCAAAAAAGTTAGAAAATTCCTTGTTGAAGATATCATGAAAATTTTAAAGCTCTGACTTTAGTCTTTTCCTTATGATGTATTGAACAACAACGTTAATGGAATGACCTAAATCCCCTCGGGCTATAAGAGTAATTCTCAGGGCACTCAACCATTCTGAGGATCAAGTTAATAATGCGGAATGGAGATTTGAATTTTTCGCATTTTTTTGTACTAACTGTCTTTGCAATTAACTATATTGTGCGAAAATTTTAAGGCAATCAAAAGAAGGTAAGAAAGAATTTCGTGAGTATTTAGTTTTCGAGAATTGAGAGTGTTAAGAATATGTAGAATAAAATACTTTCTTTATGTGCTGAACGCTGATTCGATAGTTTAGCTGACATTGCAGAAAGAAATTCTGTGTGTTTTTTCCTCGCTTGAAAAAATATTCTGCCGTGAATTAAAAATATTCCTTGCACAAAATCTCTTTTTCCAGGCAAAAGCTCTAGTTGCCCCTTTGGTTAACATTTGACCAGAAATCGTTTTTCTGCGTTTTGTGTGAAAAACTGATAAATTTGTGTTAATTCACTTTTGAAGAACATTTTATACCTGTTTCCAGTAGCACCCTTGCGCGTGCGCAACCGCATTCTTATATTGATACTGATACGGATACTCATATTTATATTTATATTCATATCCATATTCATATTCATATTCATATCCATATTCATATTCATATTCATATTCATATTCATATTCTTATTCATATTCGTATCCATATTCATATTCATATTCATATTCATATTCATATACATATTCACATTCATATTCATATTCATATTCATATTCTTATTCATATTCATATTCATATTCATATTCTTATTCATATTCATATTCATATATTCATATTCATATTCATATTCATATCCATAACCATAACCATATTCATATTTATATTCATATTCGTATTCATTATCATATTCATATTCATATTCTTATTCATATTCGTATTCATATTCATATTCATATTCATAAAGGAAACATTAATTAAGGCTTTTGATAGTTTATGTAATATAACTTTCTGAAATACTTCTCCCAGCTTATATGTATCTTGAACCGTTTTCAAGTCTGGCCGACTTTTGAAGCCACAACTAAAATTCATTCATCAATTAAATTATCTTCAAATACGAGATGCCTTTAAATACCCACTTTTTACTATGCCTTTGTTTAAAAACACTTTCATCATTTAAAGCAACCCTTTATACTTTCTCCCATTCCTCTCTCTATATACCACATACAAATATATGCATGCTACTCATTCTCTCTCTCACGCTTTGACATTGCATTTCTGGATAATCACAGCAGCAGTCATTGTCCTCTTGCAGAATCTGCAAAACAATATGAATTGCATTAAAATATTTGAAGCAGTCATTGTGTTGCCTGTAGCTAAGTAGGTAAGTATGTATGTATGTATGTAGTCGACAATGAATACGCACTTGAGTGAATAAGGATAAGCGCCATATTTAGAAATGCAAAGCATAGGCGTACCTCAAACGTATGCATTTAGCTAAAATGAGAAAAACTAAACCGGCTTAAGCAGAGATAGATATTGGTAGGTATGTATGTACATATGTATATATGTAAGTAGTGCATTTTATAAATCGCCAATTGCAGCGCTAAAAATAGTATAATAGTAAGATTTTAGGGTATTATTTTCCCATAGTTAGCATTTGAATTTATGCTATTTTTATAGGTGAACAGGTCGACTGGAGATTAAAATAAAAATCTAAGATTCATCCAATTATTTAGATGATACCAACTTGTGTTAGGTTAGGTTTAATAGTTCATTGGATGGTCACAGTGGTCCTTTGTGTTTAAAATCTCTGCAGTTACTCCTCAAACCGTTATGCCGAGCTACAAATCTTGCAGCCCTATTACCAGTGATTTAGTATCCCGTTGGTATTATTTTGTGAGGAACCACAAGCTAAGCTTTGGGCATCTCAAAAACTTGCATGTTCTTGCTAAATTAAAAGTTACTCATACGCCATGTATTTCCATTCCATACTTGTCATGGCGTATGCGTAACATAAAGAAGCCAGTCAATAACTTACGCTTATTTAGAACAAAGCATTGTTTGCCAGACTGATACCAATATGATGAAAATGAAATCAAATTGAACATATGTACATGAATGTATATATTTTTAAATTCTCCCTTTAACGATAGTAAAAAATGCAACCACATTTGGTAAACGCGGGCGTGTATGGCGGTGGCATTTACTTACATACGTCATTCATGCATCAAACGACAGTGTGCAATAAAACAATTTAAATGCAATTGAATCTATTAAATGTCTGCAATAAAGCTATTACCATACCAATTACGTATGTACACCACATAAATAAGTGTGTAGGTACAAATATTCCCAACTCGCGTCCACTTTATCTATCAATGCGTCTACACATCAACGACATAATCTATTGTAGCTGTATCAACGCCATGGTGTCGCGACGACGTCGACATATCAACAAAGAAAGACGTCAATACAATAGCAAATATATAAAGCATAAAAAAAAACTAAAATAACAACATGCCAAGCGTATGTAAGGGGGGGTTGGATTAAAGCAGTTAAAGATAAATCAATTTGTTAGCTTTAAATGAGATTAATGTTTTTGCCTGTTGCTTGCTGTAATATACATACACAAAAACACATACAAACTACGGGCATGCCGCATGCGGCAGACTACTACAAATAAAACTGTGGGCTCTCCCAACAATCACGCGCTGTTTGGTTGTTGTTAGCCACAACGCAAGAATTATGGCCGACAGGTGTTGCTGCTAGAAATAGCAAATGATTTGTGTCCTTGATGTGCTTCCAGGTAGAAAAAATTAATTACAATTGTCAAATAGTAAATTCAAGGATGTTTGATGCTTGATTTATAGAAAATATATTTTAATACAACAATACATTCGATTATACCCCCCATTACGCGCTTATATTACATGTATACAAATTTGCTGTTTATTATCAAGCATAAATTTGAATAATTTTCTGCAAATATTTTCCAAAATGTCTGGCCTAATTTCTGCTTTGATTAATGCTGTCAAACAAACTGAATTTTCTTTCTCATGGTAGAAATATGCTCAGTGCTTCTCCTTCCTAGCCGCGGCGAGTGTTAGACAATTAAACAGTGGATTTTTGATTACACCAAAGTACAATTTTGTTTTTCGTACAGTTGTGATCACAACGATGTCTTGCTGGAAAGTCCAACTGTTTTCAGGCAAGTTATCAGAAATTTTATAGAAAATGAATATATTTATGTGCACCTATGTTTTCCCTTTTTTTTTGAAATGTAGAAGATTTTTTACTTTTTCCAAAAGTTATGCGCTGCACTTAGGACAATTTTTTCATGAAATTTCCGCCAAAATTATTATTATTATTATTATTTTTTTTTTTAATCCGGAAATCTGTTGCAATTTTGCCATTTTGTTTCCAAGTAAATTCCCGGGCCAGTGTTAAATATTTGCTGGAAGCAATGGCTGCTAGACGGTGCACAGTGAGCCCCTGGTGGCGGCACTGTCGAAGACATTGACCTCTTAATAAATAAAGCCAAGTTGCTCAGAAAGGCTAACACGGAGCCGCTTGATATCTGGACTCAAAGAGAGAAATAGAAGTGGTCGGGCCGTACTTTGTGCAAAGATGAAGGCAGCAGGGGATTTGAATCCCCTAATCGGCAGAGGCGAACTTGGAGAAGAACAGTCCATCGAAAGGCGAAGCGATCGGGTTAAGCTTAAAGACGCACACAGAGATTGCCTGAAATAGAACCAGATGGCGCGCAGGCATTGAAGATGTCCTTTGTTTCACTTGGTATTCATGGAAGCGAAAAGAAGAACAAGTCCGTATAAAGATTTTTCAGAATCGTGCTTACTTAGTACATAGGTACTATTTTTATTTTGTGACAAATCTTAGAACTATTTAACCAATTCTCATTGGAAAAAACCATGTATTGGTATTGAATTCGCCTATTTATTGAGCCTTCGGTTTGTGAGATAATTCAAATTTACCCAATATCGAAAGCGATTTAGGGCGAAGATTGTGGCCACTATAAAAATAAAATACTATTTTTGGGACTACATTTGATGAATGTTTGACCAAGCGTTTCCTCCAAATTGTGGC